GTGTCTCTCCTTAGGTGATCATTGAAAGGTACAAGGGAGAGAAGCAGCTTCCAGTTTTGGATAAGACCAAGTTCTTGGTGCCAGATCATGTCAACATGAGTGAGCTCATCAAAATTATCAGGTAGTATGTGCTGGGATTGCAGTGGAACTGCACCAGGCTCAGTTTGTGATGCTCTGTTATTCCCCCACCTGGTGTATGCACTTGGGAGATCTAAATGGAAAACTCATCTAATGAGCACTAGAACAAATCCAGAAGGTGCTTTTCCTTTAGCTTTGCTGGGTAAAAAAGCCCACTCTGAAAAGAGCTGAGATGTTAGTCTGCTTCCAAGGGAAACAACTGCTTCCCAGAGCTGTGGGAGGGAGTCTGGGCTGTGAATCCCTGTCTGACATGGGTGCTGCTGGCCCAGGGCTCCAGTGCTTCCTGCTTGGCTATTTTGGGATGTCTCCTCAGTGTTCTGCCATGGAGTTCCCCTCTGGAGTGCCTGCCACAGGGAAGGGGAGTTTGGGCTCATAGCCAGAGCTTTGGGATGCTGTTTGCATCCTTTGATTGTGAAAGGAGGTTTTGCTGAGGCCTGAAAAACACAGGGCAGAGTCTTTCTGCCCCAGCTGTTGCAACAGTTTGGCTTGAGCTTGGCCTGAAAGGCAAAGGGAAATGGGCCTCAGTCAAAATTGTGGTCAGAACTTCTGCTGGAAGTGGATTTCTGCTGGCTCAGCAAGAGAGTTGGATTAGGAAGAGTTCTCAAGCAGCAAACTGGGAAGTGAGCAGCAAACCAGAGTTCTGTGTTGACCATAGTGTAGCAGGGAGCTGGTTCCTGGAGGCCATGGGCTGTGAAAACTGGAATTGTCCACGGTGTCCAAACAGAAACTGTCCCAAACAAATCCCAGCTCCTACTGGACGAAAGGGTTTGGGAGGCAGGAACCAGAATTTCTCAGGAACATGAAGGGCCCTGGGCAGAGATTAACTGCAAGCTGAAGGATTTTTCCCACCTTTTTTCTTTGGCTTTATTGTTAATAGATAACTTGGGACCAGCTAGGCTTGGGCCTCTGCCAACTCCAGTGGTTCTCAGCAAATCCTGTCCTGTCCTTCCCAGCCCTTGGAGAGCTGCTGCTTTCCCTCAGTCTCCTGCCTCTGGAGTGATTAGAGCCTGGGTTTGGAAGGATCCCTGCCCAGGGCTGTGGCTGGGAGCTAAATAAATCCCTCTTTGCAGTTGTTGCTGCCTCTCAGCAGTGACTGGAAGCAGCAGGAAGCTCTTTTGGCCTGTTCTTTCCTCCTTCCTCCTTGGGTATGTGGTTGTACATCCACATACCCAAGTTCCTGATGCTGCCGAGCTCTATGCTAAGGGTCCCACAGGCTTCTGTGTTTGCTGGTTGTACTGGGATCACTTGGCCCAGGAGTGCTTCCTCCTTGTCCCTCCAGATTAATGCCTTTCTGGTTGGTTGGTTTCCCCATGAAATATGTACTCTGTCCATGGATACACCTAACTGGATTAAGTGGATTAATGCAGGATGGCTTTAGGGTGGGAAGCAAATTCCTCTTGCAGGGACAGGGCTGGGTGGAGACACCCATTTGGACACTGGAATGTGCTGCCCAGGGTGGTGGTGGAGTCACCATCCCTGAAGGTGTTCAAGGAACAACTGGACATGGCACTTGGTGCTCTGCTCTAGTTGATGTGGTGGTGCTAGATCATAGGTTGGACTTGATGATCTCAGAGGTCTTTTCCAACCTTAGTGATTCTGTGATAGAACCATAGTATGCTAAGGGTTTGGAATGGAGCTTAGAGATCATCCAGTCCAAACCCCCTGCCCTGGGCAGGGACATCTCCCACCAGAACAGGTTGCTCAAGGCTTTAGCCAACCTGGCTTTGAACACTGCCAGGGCTGGGGCAGCCACAGCCTCCCTGGGCAACCTGTGCCAGTGTCTCACCACCCTCACAGGGAAACACTTCCTAATATCTAATCTAAAGTTTTCATCTTTCAATTTGGTGAAAATTTATAATGTTTTTCCCTGTCAGGGTGTTCAGGGACTGAAATATTGCCCAGGGAGGTGGTGGAGTCACCATCCCTGAAGTATCTAAGAGGTGTTGGGATGTGGTACAGGAGGATATGGTTTAGAGGTTCCAGCAGTGACAGGTTGATAGTTGGACTCGATGGTCCTAGAGGTGTCCTCCAACCTTGCTGATCCTATGAATGCAGTGGGACGTGTCCCTGCCCATGGCAGGGGATGAGTTGGGATGAGCTTTAAGGTCCTTCCAACCCAACCCATTCCCTGATTCTCCCATGCCCTTGCTGCTGTCCCTGTTGGACTGTCCATTGCCATCTGACACGAGTGGCAATGCCCAGTGCTCACTGTCCCCTCACCCCTCCCCAGGCGACGCCTGCAGCTGAACTCCAACCAGGCCTTCTTCCTGCTGGTGAACGGCCACAGCATGGTGAGCGTGTCCACCCCCATCTCTGAGGTGTACGAGAGCGAGAAGGACGAGGACGGGTTCCTCTACATGGTCTATGCCTCCCAGGAGACCTTCGGAGCACCATCTTCCGCCTAAGACATGCAAAGCGGCTTCTAGCCTAGGAGTTTGGTTGCCCCTTGGCCATCACCCCCACTGTCCCCACACACCCCCCAGGGAAAGAACCGGATGTCACCTCTGCTCTCAGTCCCTTAGCATAGTGTTGCTTTAGCAGGTGTCTCATCTTCCCTTGCCTTGGTTGTGACTATTAAAGAGCAGAGAGCACCTCCAGCTTTGAAACCTGCTGTAATAATGCTCCACACAGGCACATCCACATGGCTGGACCTGACAGAAGGAACCCGATTGTGCAGGTGACAATTGCAAAGGGAGGGACACTCAATTGACTTTGACCAAGCAAACAGGCACCAGGGAGGAGCTAAAGCGTTTCCTGTGAGTTTGCTGGAAAAAAAATAATCTCCCTAGGAGTCCTTAAATTTTTTATTTTGAATGGGAAGGTTTCTCATGGATGTTCCAAAGGGGAACTTTGTCTCCTGCAGCTCCATCAGAGTCGTGTCAGCACTGCAGGGAGTTAAGCCAAGTGCTTGGGGTGAGCTGGGGGAGGACAACTCTGTGTGTCTCCCTGTTTTTGGGCACTGCACACTTAGGAGGAGCAGTGCCGCTTTCTGGAATTCTCATACCAAACACCACAGCTTTATTGTAGTTATAGCAAGTGTTTAACTGTAAAACCCACACCTGGACAGGTCACATCGAAATAAACTCCAGCCTGTTACCAGTCCCCAGTCCCTGTGTGTTCAGTGAAACACCACCCCCTTAGCCTGGAGGTTTGTCATTCCCTCGCCTGGGGGTCAGGGAGGAGCAGGTCTGGGAGTCGCTGCTGAGAGCTGCCGAACAAACACTGCTTTGCATCCCTGAGCTCTCCTGGGAAGCTCCTGGTGTTCCTGGCAGGGAGCAGGCTGTGCAGAGAGAGCTGTCTTGGGACAAACCTGTGTGTTCCTCTGGTGGTTGTCAGGTGCAGCGAGGCAGGAGGAGATCCCTCGTGTGTGTGTGCTGTCCATGCACTAACTCCGTGTGTCTCCGGAGCTCCACCGGGGACAGAGCAATACTACTGCGTCCGGCACTCGCCTCACCGCGGGTACACCTCGTACCTGCTCCACCTCTGCATGCACCTCCTTCTCCCAGGGCTCACTGCCCCTTTTTTATTGTCCTTTGTGTTTTTACTCCAAGGTAAACTTTTCGATGCAGCTTTGTTCTCTGTTTAGTTTTCGTTCATGTTAAGAACTTGTTTAACTCATAACTGACAACCATTAATTGTAATTACCACGTGATTGACTGATATTCCTGTACAAAAAAATGTTGCTTTTTTAAGATTAATACAGTGCTGATATGGATGAATTACATCCCAACTTCAGGATGGCTCGTGTGGTTATTCCTAGACACTTCCAGGCAGCAAAATAACAACAGGGCTCACAGAGAATTCCCTGCAAACTGCCAGGGTTCAAAGGTTTTGACTGGGAGGGTGCTGAGGCACTGGCACAGGTTGCCTGGAGCAGCTGTGGCTGCTCCATCCTTGGGAGTGTCCAAGGTCAGTCTGGATGAGGCTTGGAGCAACCTGGGCTAGTGGAAGGTGTCCCTGCCCATGGCAGGGGGTGGGACTGGATGATCCCTAAAATCCATTCCAACCCATGACTCAATCTATAAGTTGCTGAATCCCCTTGAAATCCAAACCAGCACCAAGGGGAGATTCTGTTTAACTCTTTATTTTTTTCCATACATTAAATTTACTCAGATAAAAACATTCTAAAAATGTACAATTTTAACTTTTAACAAAGTATAATAAAACATAAAAATCCCAATACCAGAATACTTGACATTTACAGTTCAAAATCAAATTAGCTGAATATTAAATATTTACAAAACTATTTAAAATATTTATAAAGTTACATGCAGAATTTGTAATACTAGAAGTGATCCAAGTAAAAGAAAAAATGGCTCAAAATGGAGCAGGAATTGCCTTAATTCCTACTGGAAAGTTATGTCCAAGAGAAGCTGTTAATCTGCACTTGAAAACACACAGGATTTGCTTTCTGCTGCAGTACCAACTCGGTTCTGGCGTAGGTTGGGAAGGTTGAAGGGAGCAAAGGGGCAATTCCAAGGGTTTGTCACAAGAGCTGACGGGCCTCAACCAGCCCAAGTGATTCCTACTCTCACCAATCTCCATGCCGTGGCTTTTTGTTAGGATTTGCCCATACTCATCCCATTTAAGAGGTGTTCCAGACCACCCTGTGCCCTCCCCCACACAGCTCTCCCCCAGTCAGAGCTTCCAGCTGAGGCCACTTGGATTTGGGAAGAAAGTATTGACTACGGTTCACCCTGGGGGACATCCACCTGGAAATTCCCCATGGGAATTTGGGGGAGTGGCCAAGGTCTAGTGCTGGACTGTTATTCTTGGAAGTCTTATTTGCCAAGATGTAACAGTATGGAATGAAAAGGTTTCACAAGGAGCAGAGTGTGACAGAGCTGTTCCAATAAAAAGTTTGGATAAACTCATCAACTTCAGTAACAGTTTAAATGTAGTTGTAAATAAAAGGGTGGAAACCTCCGACAACACCTCCTCTTCACTCTCCTGCTGTTAGTGTCCAGCCTGGAATATTCCTTAATGCTTCATCTGCAGGGTGAGGAGGAGTTTGCTGGGAATTCCATCCTATCTCCAAGTCTTTCCATCAGCAAATGGAAAACGCTGCTGGAACTGCACAACATGCTGCTCCCTCCCCAGGGAAGGCTCATCACTGACTTCTCTGTGCCCCTGCAGGAGCTCACTGGGGATTCCCTTCCCTCTTCCACTGCAAAACCATTCCTATTCCACAGTGAAATCTGGTGTTGCCTCCAGGAGCTTCTGGATCTGAACTTCCTCTAAAACCAGACTGAACTGTTCCAGAGCTTCACCTAAACACACACATGAGCCACTTGAAAAAACATCAGCCTTAAAGGAAACAATCCCAAAGACAGAAATCCAGCAGCTTGCTGGGAACATCAGCCTTAACTCTGCACAGTGGAACATCCCAAAGGAAGCTCTGGAGAAAGGAATGAAACAATTTGCTGGGCAGAAGTTCACTTTTCCAGTCCTTTTGATACGACTTGGATGAGTACCAGAGATGACCGTGCCCAACTTTGGGCGCCAAAACAAATGACACTGGTACAGAAATGACCTTTTTTGCTGTTTCCAGAGGGTTTGAACACTCAAATGTGTTGAAATACAGTTTCTTTAAATACAATTTAAAATAGTGTTTAAAGAAGTGACAAAAAAAAGAACATGAACATTAAGTTTGGCTTTCAGCACATGTCCCAGGCCACTGCAGAGACCCTCAGAGCTGCACGGAGTAAACACGGAACTGACACTTCCTTGGGTGTGAGGCAGTGGCACACACTGTTCCTACCATTGTCGCCAGCTCATTAAGGCAAAGTTAATTGCATTGTCAGTTTTCATCCCTTTTAGTGTTGTAGGTCTGAAGGTGAGAACACGGGAAAGTCCTCGAACAACGCAGGAAAAGCCACCAGGGAGCGTGAGCTGGGCTGGGAATACACAAACCAGGGGGTTCTCATTGCATAGCAATAGGAATTAGCTTGGGTTTCTTTAGACCAACTGTTCTGCAAAGGTAGAGTTTGGGTTCCCCAAAGCGTTGAGCTGCAGATCCTTCCCTGGGCTGAGTGTGGATTCTGCCCACCCCACGTTCCTGTGATTCCTCCCTCCTGCTCACACCACCCCGGGAGAGAGCAGGAGCCAAGGATGGCCCAGAACATTCCTTTCCTAGGAATATAGCCCAGGAGGGTCTGAACTCTCCCCCCTCACACAGCCCCATCTCCCTGGGGCAGATCTGCACCACTCCAACCCCTCCTGCTCCGAGAGGACTTCCCGAGTGCAAGTCACTGTGCCACTACAAATCCTATGGATTCATCCTGGTGTGGTTTAAGTCAGTGTAAGGAAAACCTCCAAGTGTAAACAAGGCTTCAGACTTTAAAGGTGTCTCCCAAATTACAGGCTGCAAATCTCTCTCTGCCAGACATTTCTAAGGAGAAAGCCTCACCCATTTGATGCTGTCGAATTCCCAGAGGGGAGTCATGAGGATTAGGATCTTCTTTCAACCAGACAGGACCAAAGTGCTTCAAATTAGCAGTTCCACATGGGGTTTGGCTTCCTCTCGAGTCCTAATTTAGATTTGTCACCCACAAATGATGTACTCTAAGTAGTTAACACCAAAGCTACTCATCATCTACAACCTACTGCAACGACAGGAAATCCTTCCAGGGCTTGAGAATAATGAAGTTTTACTACCTTGTACATGTTTGACTCCTACAACTTCTGAATCCTGGGGGG